AATATCGAGCTATATTGTGTTTATTAGTGTTGCCTAGAACATATATTGTTCCATTTAGAGATTTATATGTCTGTCAGTTTAGAGATTTAAGATTTAAGTTTTGATAAGTTCAATATTTTAATTTAAAAAAAAAAAAAAATGGGTGGGTGGGGCAAGGTGGGATGAGGTAGAGCTTTTGTGTGAGTGAATGTACAGTACATGTGTTGTATTACTTTTGTTTTGTCTCGAGGACCCCCTCGAAAACGAGATGTCTCATCTCAAGGGGTTATCCTCAACAACAACAACAAAAAAAAAAAAATATATATATATATATATATATATTTAAATGTCTGTCGGTTTTGTTCTATTTGGATATTTAAGTTTTGATAAGTTAAATATTTTAAATTATATATTTAAATGTCTGTCGGTTTTGTTCTATTTAGAGATTTAAGTTTTGATAAGTTAAATATTTTAAATTATATATTTAAATGTCTGTCGGTTTTGTTCTATTTGGATATTTAAGTTTTGATAAGTTAAATATTTTAAATTATATATTTAAATGTCTGTCGGTTTTGTTCCATTTAGAGATTATAATTAAATATTTAAAAATATTTAAAATAAAATTATATATTTAAATTATATATTTACAGTGGTCGGTTTTGTTGTAAACAAGAGAAGACTATTGTAAGAAAGCATCAATTAAGTTGTCTTGATTTAAAAAAAATAGCCATTTGTCAAATCGCCTGATTCGAGTTTAACATTTTCCAAATATTTGATGAGCAGTTGTTTAGACAATGAGCACGTTTTCATACACGCCAAAAAGGCTGATAGCCCCCAACAATCGGCTTTCTGAATTACTCTATCATGCAAACCAAAAGAATTTACAAGAATTTATTGAATAAAGCAGGTTATTATTCCCCGGTATTAACGTCAAAACATTAACGTTCGTGAGTCCTTTGAAAGTTACAATGGTTCATGTGTTGGTAATTGCGAACCGGTTCTTACTCGTGGTTTTGTTGTCTTGTTATTATTCCAAATATTAAATGGAAAGCGTTTGTCTCTCTGCCTCAGATGTGCGTGGTGGATTTGAGCTGCACGCATCAGAAGACGTGGAGAAACACAATCAGCTTCTGGAAGGTCTCGAGCAGCTCCGTCTGTCCGGTTATCAAGACCAGAACCAGTTACTGGATGTTCCTGTGGACGCTTTCAGTCATTCAGACACATTATCCTCCTCTGGGACGTCAGCGCTCCTTCCCAACTGGCTCCTGGCGGAGAACACGCGCTCAGACTCTTCCCAGACATCGGGTCATTCGCCCAGCGGAGGAGCTCCTGTCAGGAACGGACATTCGGAGAGTACGGATGTGTTGTTTACTGTAGTGGACTTGCCTCGCCACAAGAGGCCGCTGCTCTCACAGGTCTTCGGTTCCCTCAAGAAGTGCCACAGATCAACAGTGACACCCGCAGGACAGTCTGTGCAACAGCGGCTGAACGAGGAGCGGACAAATGATGTCACCGTTGAGCCAGAGTTTGAGCTCTCTACAGTCCACATCAGCAAAACCAAGCAGTCACTGGGTATTCAGCCTCTTTCTCAATGCGACTCTGTTATTATTTTTTATCCGTGCACATCATTATTGTTTTAATAATATGGATTCAGAATCTCTTCTCTGATGACGAGGGTGGGGCTTTAACCTGTCACTCACATGAGATCAGCCAATAGCATACCACAACCATCCAATCAATTCCCCACAGACACAATCAAGCCCCGCCCAGAAGTGTTTTCACTCGTATGTACGACACAATAGGGAAGAAAAGACCCACACAACTTCCCTTTCAGGCTGACTTAAAGGAGTAGTTCACTTTAAAAAAAACTTTTGCTGATAATTTACTCGCCCCCGTGTCATCCAAGATGTCCATGTCTTTCTTTCTTCAGTCGAAAAGAAATGAAGGTTTTTGATGAAAACATTCCAGGATTTTCTCCATATAATGGACTTCAATGGGGTCCAAACGGTTCAAGGTCCAAAAGACAGTTTCAGTGCAAACTGTTCAAAGGGCTTTAAACGACACCAGACGATGAATAAGGGTCTTATCAAGTGAAACGATGTCTCATTTAAAAAAAAAATAACAAAGTTTAAGTTTTATAAGCTCAAATGGTCGCCTTGCTCTGTTTTGTGATGCGCGTTTGTGACTCTCCTGTTTCAAACTCTTTCCTATTCGAATTGACTTGGAATCTTTTTCCGAGTCAATCCGTTCGTTGAATGAACCAAATGACACGAAAAAAGATTCATTCATTTTGATGAACAAGTTTGAACAGGAGAGTCACGAACGCTCATCACAGAACAGAGCAAGGAGAGCATTTGAGCTTATAAAACTTTAACTTTTTTTTTTTTTTAAATGAGCAATTGTTTTGCTTGATAAGACCCTTATTTATCGTCTGGGGTCGTTTAAAGCTCTTTGAAGCTGCACTGAAACTGTCTTTTGGACCTTGAGCCGTTTGGTTCCCATTGAAGTCCATTATATGGAGAAAATCCTGGAATGTTTTCATCAGAAACCTTCATTTCTTTTCGACTGAAGGAAGAAAGACGTGGACATCTTGGATGACACTAGGGGTGAGTAAATTATCAGCAATAGTTTTTTTTAAAAGTGAACCACTCCTTCAATGTAGGTCATATGAGGAATCAGCTTCTCCTTGATCTGTTGTGATGAGAGTTTATTGTGCAATGCAAACATGCATTTAATTATTAAATTTGTACATAAACGCCTTAAAACCACAGCAGCAAAACTAAAAAACTTTTGTTTCCAAACATTTGTTTTCTAAACGCATGTTACTGATCTTGTGAAGGATTCAATCATGCATGCTTCATTTATTAAAATTTGACCTAGTTATGTTAGTTACATCTACGAATCGAATTAACAACCGATAGATGTACGACTCACTCGCTTCACTCGGATGTTCAGTACGCCAGAATGTGGAAGACAAGACGTGTCGCTGCTGTACACTCATTTCATCCTGATTTAATAGTGTGTAGTCTAATGTTTCTTTCCTCGGTGTGTAATGTATGATGTAAATGAAGTGCAGGTAATTAAGTCTGATGTTTGTCTTGTGATCAGGGATCAGTATATCCGGAGGATCCGAGTCCAGGGTGCAGCCGATGGTGAAGATCGAGAGGATTTTCCCAGGAGGAGCTGCATCTACCAGTGATGCTCTGCGGGTAACAGACGAATCCCTGATGATCAGTATTAGCATGTGTGATTTAGCTAAAGCTCACTAGCTCATGGGCCTGTTGTGTGTGTGTGTTTCAGGCCGGCTTTGAGCTGGTGTCGGTGGACGGTGTGTGTCTGCAGGCCGTGACCCATCAGGACGCCGTGGAGATCATACGGCAGGCCTTCAGCAACAAGAGCATCGACCCAATGGAGCTCGTGGTCAAAGTTCCCAGAGATCCCAGAGTCTCGTGACACGCTGCCTTACGGTATGAATTTCACAACACTCGACCATAGACTGTAAAAACAGACCAAAGCTGAAAATGTGAACAAGGCGGATTAGCTGAGGTGACGTGAGCAGACAAACGGCTATTAGTGACATCAGCAGCAATCCACCTGTCACTCAAGTGGCCACGCCCTTAATTATCCAGAACTTTAAGGCTCAATATAATTTAAATGGATGAGTTATATAAAAAAAATCATTAGGGATATTCTGATCAGTGAATTTTGTGATCCGTTGCACCACTAAATTAGCTTGAAAAGTACTAATACATCCTGGTTTAATTGCTCTGGTGACCAGTGTTTTCAAGAACATAAAAATCGAATAAAACACGAGTAACGTTGATTAATTGCAGGTGTTTAATTACAAACAGCTCATAGGAACATTAAATATACAGCACAAAAAATATACAATGCATTGGCTTCATACAAATACTCTTAATTAAAAAAAAATGGCAATACCACCACAATCACCCACAAGTAACAGAGCGGTTAAACGCACGCCAGCAATGCTTTGGTCTATTCACAGTGGCTACGCTTCTACATGTGTTCACAATCAGGTTATTCAACATTATGTGACCGAGTCTAAAGTGTGCAGTAATGCTTTTATTTTGGTACAAATATAACAGTCAGTTGCTTTAATGGACACAGAGATCATATTCCTCACTTTAGTATTGAATATTGCCACGTTCAGCTCATGTCAGAATTACCAAATACTTCATAAATACATTCAACTTGAAGAATGAAAGATATTTTGGTTTGAACATGTCACAAAAGTCAAGTGAGGGCAGCTCGAGCTTCCAAACTTTATGATTATGATTTGAGCAGCTTTTACTAATCAGATGCTCAATAATGGTAATTCTGGCATGATTGTGCTTTAGGAGTCAAGACACTGAGCAGACATCTATTTTCTTATGTTAATGAAGGGAAAGCCACGAGTTGTGCATTTTGGTCTCGCATGAACACTGGATGTTAATGTAAAGATAAAAAATTACGCGTTTAAATGACAATGAAAATGCATTTACCGGATAAACTCCTGGATGCGCCACAGCAAAGTCATGTGACCTTTTCTTTAACAGAGGATGTGATTGATAACTGGACTAACCAGCGGACCAATCGCATCGCAGCATCTCAAATGAGAGCCATAATGACATAATGAAACTATTGCATTCCCAAACATCAGTAGTTTGTTATTGTGTGTCATCTCTGAGACGCAGGTATATTTATTATGGAGGCTTTCCAAATTAACATTTTATTACTGATTCTTTGCACCACCTTCACCAAAAGGTGAAGATTTGTTTATCTTGATGGAAATGGGGCAAATGTTATTATGCAATACTTTAGGGTTGTGAAATGATTAATCGCATCAAAATAAAAGTCTGGTTTACATAATGTATGTGTGTGTGCTGTATATAATATAAATACACACACATCAAGTATATATTTAAGAAATGTGATATTTATGTGAAATATTAATGTTTATATATTATAGAAATATATATACAGTGTACATACAAATATTTCTTAAATATATTCATGCATGTGTGCTTTTATACACAGCACACACACATTATGTAAGCCAGTATTTATTTTGGATGCGATTGATCGTTTCACAGCCCTGCTACGATACTTACGCACAACTTTGGTTGGAAACGGCTAATGACACAAAAGTGCACTTCTGTGAGTTTACAAACAGACTGTGTTCCACATGTGCCTGAAAATAATTGACACAGAGTCCATTAAATGTATTTTTAGGCCACATAAATAATGTAACAAACTTACGAACGGTTTTTTGCATTTTATGCAGAGCGCATTTCTGAAATGAGTGCGGCGGTAGACGATCACTAGGCCGGGACAGTGGATCGATTCATCGCGATTCGTGGATCGGTTCCAATATTTTCCGAATACATTGCCATTCTCTCTCGAATTGATTCTGAGCTTAGTGTTTAACTGCAGATGGCGCTCTAGGCTAGTGTTTAACAGCGGATGGCGCTCTAGGCTAGTGTTTAACAGCAGATGGCGCTCTAGGCTAGTGTTTAACAGCAGATGGCGCTCTAGGCTAGTGTTTAACAGCAGATGGCGCTCTAGGCTAGTGTTTAACAGCAGATGGCGCTCTAGGCTAGTGTTTAACAGCGGATGGCGCTCTAGGCTAGTGTTTAACAGCCGATGGCGCTCTAGGCTAGTGTTTAACAGCCGATGGCGCTCTAGGCTAGTGTTTAACAGCGGATGGCGCTCTAGGCTAGTTTTTAACTAGCTTTGGAAGACCATTCACTGTTAAAAAATAAGCTCAGAATCGATTCGAGAGAGAATCGCGATGCATTCGTAAAATCTCAGAATCATTTTTCGATTTATAATCCCAGTGTAACGATTACCTAGCTTTACCGTGATAGCTTCCCGCTACGCCTTCCTCAAAACAAAGATGATTTCAGATCTCGGTCGCAGCGATGTCGTCGAACGTGACTTCGTTTCCGCTGCTCTCGTCGTCCTGTTCTCTCGACTCGAGCTCGAGTTTTAGTTCACGTAGCGATCGCTCCAGATCACGGTTTCTCTTGTACATCTGCACGTAGTTCTGCTGCAACTCCTTCTGGTATCGAATCACTTTATCTTTCTCCTCTTCCCAGCTCTTCCTCTCGCTCTCGAACGCTACGTCCCGGTCGGCCGCGTGCTTGCGTTCGTACGCGAGCTCGGCCTTGAGTCGCTCGATCTGATGCTTGGAGGCTTTCAGATCTTCTTTTTCGTGCGACGTCGACTCCTCCAGACGGCTCATCTTCTCTCTGAGGAGCTCGTTCTCGCTCTTGCGGCGCTGCAGCTCGTTCTCGCACACCTCGAGCTCCAGGGTTCGTGTGTGTGTGGTGGTGTGTGCCTCCTGAAGCTGACTCTGGCACGTCTTCAGCTCCACACACACGTCTCTCAGTTGGCCGCGCACCGACACCAGTTCACCGACTCGCAGAGCCAGGTCCGCCTGAAGGTCTTTCAGCTGCTGCTTCAGCAACGAGATCTCACCGGACTTCTGGCACACCTGAGCGATAAAGCCACAAATCACTTAAAACGTGGATGCAAACATCTTAAAGCTGTTCCATGTACATTTTTTCTCTCTACTAAAGAATAAAAATATCATATATTTGCATATATTGAGGAAACACGCCGAGTTCACACACTCGTTTCTCTGAACGCTTCTACGGCCGGTTATTTTACTGTGAAATGTGTGTTTCCAGGCTGGAATGTGTGTGTTTTGACGATGCTACACGTGATTCATTGTCCATTGCGCTCGCGACCCGCGTGAGCGTCGAGTCTGTGATATGTTGAACTGGACCGCAGTGCCGATCTCCACCACTAGCTGTCATTCTCACACACTGCACCTTTAACTATCGTTTCAAGAGGCTTTAAAGCATTAGTTCCCTTCAGAATGACAAATTTCCTGATAATTTACTCTCCCCCACTAAAACGCCAACGTCAAGGTAAAACAACAACATCCGACATCGTTGTTTATTTTTAATTTATTTTTTGGTAAATGCCGTTTGACTCAGTCTTTGCACGTTTGCATTGTAAACACTGGGTCTGTTCTTACGCCTACGTCACGCTTGACCTTTTAACCTGATTACGCAAGACAGCTCGTGCAAGACCAGAATTTGTGGTTTTAAAATGGGAATGGTCAATTTTGATTTCATGGGGACTTTAATGAAGTTAAAAATGAGCCTTTTAAAGTTTAACACCCCCCTAAACTCATCTTTGATCACCAAAATTGCATATTCCTTTAAAAAAAATGTCTTCATGCCTTAAAATATCTTGAATGTAACTCGACACCCTTGGTTCTATGAATATACAAATGAGCCCCGCCTCCACACACTCACTCAGAGATCCACTGGTTGACGATCACACGTTGATCTGATTGGTTACAAGGTCGTTTGTGACGTCAGAAACACCAGCGATTTCAAACGTGTGTCTTTGGTTCACTGAACCAGCTGAGAAACGCAAATCTTGCTTTTTTCTTAAGCATAGTCTCACAATCACAGTTAGTCCCTATCTGATACTTCCTACAGCGCTGTGACCGACTCCTCCTCACCTCCCACTTGCTCTCCTCGAGTCTGGGTCCGAGGTGTGTGTGCTCCCGCTCGTAGGAGTCCCACCGCTCCTCGAGTCTCTGGCGCTCCTGCAGGATCTGCGCCATCTCCTCGTTCTGCTTCTTCTTCTCCTGCTGGAGCGTAAACACCTGGAGCTGCAGGAGCTGATGCTCACGCTGAGCTTTATGGGACGCTTTCTGCATCTTAGCGGCGCACGTCTGTCTGAACTCCTCTATCTCCAGCTCAGTGCGCTTCTGCCTCTCCTCGTAAACCTAAACACACACACATATAATTTGTTAGAGGAAATGGTTCTATTTAGAACCAAAAATGGTTCCATCCCCCGCTTCATATATGGAACTCCAAAATGGTTCTATATAGAACAATTTTTTTTTGGTAGAAAGGTTCTATTGGCCTAGTATGGAACCCCAGGGTTCTATATAGAACCTAGAGGAACCCTTTTTTTAACCCTTTTTTTGCAAACACTCGTGAGTCATCGTGATACGTGACCCTGGAGCACGGGTCGCACGGGTGTATCTGTGGCACTAGCCAACAATACCTAAAATGGGTCAAAAATATAAATTTTTCTTTTATGACAAAAATCATTAGGATTCAGCGTTCACACACACCTGACAGATGGCGGATTCGTTCTCATCCAGGTTTTCCCGGAGTCGCTGTAGCTCCTCATCTCTCTCCCTCAGCTTCTCCTCCAGATCCCTCATGATGGTCTCGTAGACCTCGACGGGTGGAGGCGAAGGCCTTCCCGATCCCATATCCGACAGCATCATCTGTCCTCGGCCTCCCAGAGACCCCGAGCTCTTGCTGGACGACGAGCGCCCGCTGTCGGAGTTCGAGTGTGCGTGGGGTTTGCTCGCCTCGCTCTGGTTATACGCCGGGAGATTCGCTAACGAGTCGCGAGCCGCTTCCGTCATGGTGAAAGACTGGCTGAACAAACCGTTGCGAGCGCCGCTGTACGAGCTGCGCCGCTCCGTCGTCCTGCCGATGTCCTCGTCTTCCGGAGAAAACCTGCTGAGGTTTCCTTGGCTTCCCGAGAGACCGGCGCCGGGTCGCGGAGACAGGAACTGCGCGGCGTTCCGGCTCCTGGGAATGACGGGTTTGAAGGCAGTGGGTCTGATTATGGCCTGCTGAGCATTCTGGGAGAAAACATAATAACATAATTTTACTGAATAATTAAGTGAACCTAATTTGCTTTAAAAAACCCTCATTGCTTAAGGCTACTCTCTGCTGTCTCAGGTGACGATGACATCACTTCCTGTCGGCCACTGTAACTTCTGTTGGGTGCAATTCACAACCTCACCACTAGATGCCGCTAGAAATCACACACTGCACCTTTAAATAAATGTTCCAAATTTAACTTTGCAGTCATCAAGTGCTCACTTAATGATTATTAAAAATTCAATTGCATTAAATATGGATAAATTAAATGTAATCAAATTTCTAATATTGGGTGATATGATGCAATAAAAGAAAACGCTTTTTAAAAAAAAATACACTAACTTAACCTTTAATTTTCAACTATTAACTTAATTTTTAAATTAAATTAAATATTGATAAATGAATCGTAATAAAATTTTGTTGGCTGATATGATGCAGATTTAATTTTTAAAAAATAAATATTTATTTATTTAATTATTTAGCCAACTACTCTGTAATAATAATAAATAATAATAATTATAATTGATAAATTAAATGTAATCAAATTCTAATATTGGTTGATATGATGCAGTTTAATTTTTTAAATAAACGCTTTTTATTTTTGGGCTTTATCATGGTAGCGATAGGAGAGTATAGAGGGGAACGTGACGTTTTTATTAATCCCTAAACCTCACCCTTTCTTTTTCTTTTTTTCCATGTGAAAATTCTGATATTTAATGAAAAATTACAAAAAAATTTGTTTGCAAAAAAAAACAAAAACGATACGAATCCTTCAAAATAAGACTAGAAACACGCAATAAGAAATATTTACAAAAATTCTTTGACTGAACTACCCACCCGTTCCAACTGTCCCGACACAGGAACCAGTTTCGGAGGCCCGTCCGCACCAGCCATTCCCACATCCAAACGGTTATCATTCCAGTCCCGTATCAAGTCCTCATGGGAGTACGAGCGATTCCCGAAGCCCTTCGCCCTGCAGGCGATTCCTCTCCTCTTGCTGGACGGGGTCCGACTGCCGGCCTGTGACGCGTCGGATAACAGGCGTCCCGATCCCGGCGTTCCCTTGCGGAAGTTGGTACTGACCTCTATATTGTCCCGGTCGGGATAAGTGACGTGATTGGGCTTCATGGTGCTGACGGCTCCCATCGCTCCCATCAGGCCTGGTCCTGTGTGGTCAGTGGACACGGGAAGAGACTGGATCAGCGCCATGGCTGACGACCCGGGAGCTCAGAAAACCTGCAGACACACCAAACAACATATTCAGATATCAACAGACATCATTTTCACATGGGATTAATCTAGTTTGATCTGCCTTAACAGTTTCTAATCACTAAAGCTGATTAAACCGCTCCTACCGTTCATAACATCAACGTTCCCGTTTGCTTAAACTAAAATGTCGAGGAGAAACGCTGTTTAATTTCTGGGCTTCAGAACGGCTCAATGAATGACTTTTCAAACTGGTTAAACGAGTTTTAAAGGAGCTAGTCTGGCCATCCCAAACTGGGGTCATGAGTCGAGTCTGACCGTGTCGGGCAGTTCAAACCGATTATGATTCCTTTCATGGAGCAGAAATTACATATTCAACCCGTTAAATTTATAAGTTGGTATTTCCTCCTTAAAACTGCAGTGAACCAAAGACAGTCTCAAAAACACGCTTTGAAATCGCTGGTGTTTCTGACGTCACAAACCACCTTGTAACCAATCAGATCAACGTGTGATCGTTGAGTGAGTGGAGGCGGGGCTCATTTGCATATTCATAGAACCGCACATACTAAATGAGGCAAGGGTGTCGAGTTACATTCAAGATTTTTTTTTCAAGGAAAATGTTTCAATATATAGTTTTGGTGCGCAAAGATGAGTTATAAGGGATACAATTATTTGATTTTTTTATTAAAATGTAAATTATTGTGAATCATTCGTCATAAAAATAGAAACATGACTCATTAAAAGATTTACAGCGATCTCCTACATTTAAAAAGTGTCTCAACAACATGCTTCCACAAGCATTAAAAAATGAATTAATTCTTCCACTTATGGTAAGCGCGGTAATTTTCCAGTCCCTTCGCCGTCTCTGTTCCTCAGTGGTGGAATCAGATTTAAACAGCTCAACTAACCACAACCATAAACAAACACTCGCTATAATCGAGTCTGCTGCACTGTGAATAATTGCATGTGTTCCTGATTTGTAAGTGACTTTGAATAAATGTAAATCTGAAGCACTGACTGCAAACCATGAACTGGGTCAGTCGTCGTGCATCACACGCTTTATCACCGATACACATCTCGTCCTAAAACACACGGCGCGGATTACAACATTATGGAGTCGTATTCACTCTGAAACTGCAGAAAACACAGTGACTTGAGTGTAAAGCACTCCTACTTTCCTCTGACAAATCTGACATTTTCTCCAAGACAACAATGAGACTAAATGGAGAACAAAGAGGTTATTGCTTGAAGTCACATGCGCTTGCATTTGCCTTTTCCACACTGAAGTTCATCACAATACAGAAGTACAGCAAGCTGTGAATGTTGTTGACCTGTTTTGTGATGTATACCTAGAGATGAATCTGTTTCATCATTGCTCTGAGCTTCTCCACATTAGTTTAATAGCTCTAAACACTCCGGTTCACTCAGAACTGTGTTTTTACGGTTAAAAAAAGTCAGTCGAGGGAAAAAAAAACAAGGTCTCGAGACGAAAGTTGGACGTATTTTAACATTTCTATAACGCTGCGTCACCAGAACGTTATTTCTCCTGAGGAATATTAGGAGAAACATCTCGAGAGAAGGCGATACTTTACTTTACTTAAACATTGAGTCTCTTTAGCGAGAGAATGATTGGACTAAGGTTGCATCAAACAGACACAGTTCACACACACACACACACGTTTCTTCTTAAATCACATACCTGATGTTAAATCCTGCATGTCGCCCGGTTCTGTGACACTGATACTGATGTGTGTGTCCATCAGTCCGCTTCACTTTCTCTCTAGCTTCAGTCAGTGTGTGTGTGTGTGTGTGTGTGTGTGTGTGTGTGTGTGTGTGTGTCCGAGGGAAACTCATTTCTCCGCTGCACGTGTGTAATGAAGCTCTTTCCCTCCATCTCTCTCTCCTTCTCTGTCCTTCAGTGTCTTGATTCTTTTCTTGGTTACATCATGTACTCGTGTGTGTGTGTGTGTGTGTCATGTTGGGAAAAGTTACTTTGAAAAGTAATGCATTACAATATTGCATTACTCCCTAAAAAAGTAACTAGTTGTGTTGCTTAGTTACTTTTGCGTTTTTTTTTTAATCAAAAAAGTTTTATTTTTGGGCAAATGTAAAACCCTTTAAAAACAAAATTGAAATAATAACGCTGAAGGAAATGCAAATTGACGTGTAGAAATTTTAACACTTCGCCAATAAAACGAAATATCTAAAGTCATTTTTGCTTATGGTTTAACTGAATTATCGAAGATCAGCAGCAAGTGCATTGGTCAATAAAGTGAGATTAAATGCAAAGAAATATTTGTTTTATTTAACATATTTAATTATTTGAGGTTTACGTATTGTTCTGATTTTGCATTTCACTGATTTTATTCATTTTGAAGAATACTGGATCTTTTTTGTGCAAGAGAGATTAGTAAATGCACGCTCGCATTTAGTCTAGAACGACAATATGTCATGTTCATGTTCACACACACACAACGTCTCTGCATTTACTCACAATTTTTCTCAACATGAGCATAGGAGGGCTGTCAGTCAATAAATTGCGTTACTTATTTGAAAAAGTATCTTAGTATTTTACTGTAAATTTAAAAGTAATGCATTACTGTACTAGTTACTTGAAAAAAGTAATCAGATTACATAACTCAGGTTACATGTGACACACAACTCTGATTGTGGGAATTATTCCATGATTAAGTAATACTGACAACGCTAGTCCGTACAGAATGAGACAAAACCAAGCATTAAAGAAAGTCAAGATGTTTTCAAGAAGAAAGTCATTTTTTGTCTCTTTGAAGAAGCAGGATTATTCTCATGTAGTGATGCACGATATATCGGCCAACATATCGGTATCGGCCGATATATGTTCATTTTGAATGTTATCGTTATCGGCCTGGTAAGAAAATGTGGCCGATATATTAAAGCCGATAAATAATGTATTATTCCCTTCAGCTGAGACACTTGTTGAGAACTGTTTATGTTTTTGAATTTCTTGAAATATGATTGAAATCTCTTCAAAAAATGAAAATCTGGTTCGGGACAACATGTGCAACGCAAATCTGTCATATCGGCTGAGAACATTATTATAATTGTGCGCTTGGGACATGGATTTAATTGTGAGACTTTTGTTTTTGTAATCAGGCTCTCAAAATTAGATAAAAAATTTGGATTTAAGTTTATCAGCCGATATATCGGTTATCGGCTTTCAAATATAAAGAATTATCGGTTATCGGTATCGGCCAAAATTTTCATATCGGTGCATCACTATTCTCATGGTTTCTCGACCTGGAAATGAATCAAATCCTAAAATACCATAGTAGGCATTTTTATAATGAAGCTATATTTGTCAAAATATAAAACATTTCATATGGTAGAAATTGTAAATAAAAATTCTTTTAAAGATGTTTAAGTGTGAAAACGTCTCTCTAGCCTGTTTTAAAAGACACTTAATATTCAGTAATATTGTAGATTTGACTGCACTGACTCCTTCAGGCGCTGTCTACACCACACTGCGTTCATCTGAACACCTTTTAAGCGTTTTGGCTGTTCATTTACACACACAAAAACGTGTTTTGGGTGCATGAACGTCATTAAGTCTTAAGTCTACAGTGTTTAATCTAATGGCCTGACAGCAGAATAACAGCGTTTTTATTCGTTTTTGCGGATCCGTGTGCATGGGGATCGTTTTGGAAACGTCTCAGTTTTAAGCGTATCGTTGCGGTGTTAACGTACCCTCAGATGAGAATGAATTGAGCTGAATAATGACACTATTGTCTCCGTTAAGCCGTTTAATTGTTTAATTTTGCAACATTTAATTGTTATTTTCCTATTTTATTTCTGTGAACCTGCTTTGAAACTATCTGTACTGTAGCTGACTAACGATGCAACTAAACACACACAAGTGCAACAAGGCTTCATTAGCATTAAAACTACAAACGTGTGTTTCTGAACGCCTCCAGATGTGCATTTACTCCAGGATGTAATGTGAACGGTTCATAGAAGAGCTCATTTTGCATCTTTATGATTCACAACGTAAATACATCGTATGTAAACACACATCAGGTGATCCCAAAACCAGCCAATTAAGAGAAATTAGTTTATTAGATAAGTCATTTGCGTTCAAACCAGTGTGAGCAACACTAACTGTAAACCGAGAACGACAGTGACAAATGAAGCCGTAAATACAAACGCATTAAATTCATCATCACACTTCCAGAGGAAAGTTTTGAATGAGTGTGATGTGCTGGTGTATATATATAGCCTTGTGTAAGTAGGCTACAGCGTGCTGTGTGTCTCTCTCAGGTCCTGTAAGTGGGTCACTGGACACGGTTAAACTGGTTCTGCCGGCGCAGCGAAGCGACCAGAGAACAGAACCACACGAGACAAGAAAATATATTCATGATCAGACCTGAAAACACACACACACCTTTAGTCAACATTCATCCACACACTGAACAAGACAGCAAAAAAAACATAATGAATATTGTGCATGTCGTCGGTTCATTTTTTGATGGTCATTAAATGCTTTGCTGAGGTGAAATGAGACATTACGCACATTAAAAGCTGTTTTATTGACATATTTCCGTGGTTGAAACACTGATTGTCTTCAGGAAGTTGTTCTCTATCTTTTAAAGTTCGTTTGTTTGGTGCGGTAACTAGTAGTAAAGAGCAGGAGATGATCCGCTCACCATTCGGCTGCAATCCACATTTAATTTCAGACGTAAATGTATTCATTGCCGAAATGTTGTTGCATCACTAGTGAAAAGAAGGCATTGGTTTGATTGCATGAACTTTTCGTGTATATAAGAATAATTTTTTTATAATTTGCTAACAAGCATGTCATTGTTTCTGCCTTAAATTAATACATTTTTAGCTAACTGTGATTTCTGAAATACATATCACTCACAGATCACTCTAATGCATTTTCCGTAAACAATACGTATTGTGAAGAGCGCTATAAAAATAAATGTGAATTGAATTAGCTAAAATCAATGTGTAATTAAATGCAATGACCGTAATGTTAAGGAGAATTTGAATGTAATATTTGTTTTGTAGGCTTGAATATTGACCAGATCCTGAACCGGTGAATCTGAAGGAGTATTTGAGGCCTCGGCCCAGTTTGAGCTTGTGTTTCTGTGCCGGGACACGAGATCCGGACAGACCCGGTGCCGGCCGTGCCAAGCTCTCACTGGGAACACTGGCAACAACAGACCTACTTTACACAGCCAAAAACACTGGGGTTTAACCCACGAGAGGCCTGCACTGATGATGTTAGTCCCCATGAGATCAAAAATGATTGTTTATTGTAAATGATTTATAGGTGCATAGATCATTATTGTGTTCATAATGTTGAATCTGAATCAGTGCCTTTTGCAGCTTCTCTGATGATGTGGGCGGGGCTTTAACCTGTCACTCACAACCATCCATTCAATTCCCCACAGACACAATCAAGCCCCGCCCACATGTGTTCTTGTTCCTGAAGCGTTTCCCTCGATATACGACACTATAGAGGAGAAAGGAAGACTTTAATTCACCCCATAAAGTCCCTATTATGTTCTGTTTAAACTGATCAGTCATGCATCTCTTTGCTGTCCATACAACAACAGTCCAAATTGTCTGCAAAGCTCTAAAAGATCCTACAAAGTAGCATAACAATGCATAAGTCTGTGCACCAAAATAATAATATAATTATCCGTGATGACTTGATTTAAAATACAATGCATACGCTTGTTTCATTTTATCGTGATGTTTCATGATTTTTAACTCCAGGACTTCATATAATCGGCTGGACTTCTGCTTATGTTTTTAAACAGTAAATAATCTCCAATCTGCGAGCGCTAACTCTCACCAGCGGCTTCCTCTGCGCTAACGACGGCTCTATGAATAGCGAGTGTATTAATAGCGTTTACAGAGAACTATGGGTTATGGGAAGCCACGCCTGATTTATGTTCAGATCAAATGCGATCTAATTATATTAATGTATTACAGAACAAACTCGATGAAAGAGGCGAAGCGAAGCCTATTTTAGGACCATTAGCGTGTTTGGTTTGTTCGCTGTGATTAGATTGATTGAGATGTGGGGGTGGAATGGAGCTTGTAAGGGTCATTTTCTCTCATTTTTCTTTTTGTCACACACACACACACACACACAGATTATTATTTCCTGAGAAACCTTGAGACGCTCTCAGAAGACCAATAACGAGAACATCAACAAGTGGCTGCACAGGAAATGAGGTCATCAAACTGTGTGTGAGAGTGTGTTTGTATGCACATGTGTGTGTTTCAGAGAGAGAGAGGGTGTGTGTGTGTGTGTGTTTACAGACTGGAGGAACACCAGATGTGTGTTAGACCATCATGAGCTTCAGCCACACAGAATAACTTAGAGAGTTTCACTGTCCGCAACCGTAAACGCCTACAAACCTGAAACACTGGAACATGAAGCTCAATAATGAGAATAAAGCCTCTGGTCCTGATTGGCTGAGCAGCGTCTCTTAGCTCCGCCCTCAAACACTAGTGTATCTGAGACTGGAAGAGTTCGGCTCGTGTTGTTCATGTTTTCTGAGATTGATACGGTGAAACCCACGCCATCGTCACTGTTCAGATCACTGTGATCAAGAGCTGAGATTCAGATATGATAATGAGCGTTCGCTTTCTGACCAATCAGAGCAGAGCAGCTCTCAGAGAGGTGGGGCTTAGAGTGACTGAGAGGAAAGAATTTCCTGAGCAATAAGGACATGTTGTTCGCTTGCAGTTTTTCTGACAGGTGCGCTGGTTTGTTATTATGAATCAGATCTCGGGGCCGGTTGTGTGTGACGCAGGGGTTATAGACGTGTGTGTGCAGAGCGGTTCCGTATAACTGAGTCCGTTCAGCTCTGAAAGGCAAGAAGTGTGTGTGAATGTGTCCCGTTACGATGCAGACTCTCCTTGTTTAACAGGGTCTTAATGAGAAGCAGAAGGTCACACCCAGATCGCCCGGATTAGGAGAGAGAGCGATTATGGCAGAGCGGATATCTCGGATGAATACAGTAAACACCAGTAATCAACACGGAGACGGCGTCCACTAATGTCTGTGCCTCACGCATGTTTGACTCAAACGTATTGTGACTGAACGACATGCACTGAAGTCACGTGACAACATTGTTTATCGTGGAATGTGGAATGCAAACGTCAATATATATATAAATACAAAGTGACCAAAGAACGCCTGCTGGTTAATTTACTATATTCACTTATTAAGAGTAGGCAGTGTGCGCTGCACAATATTCACAGTGAGGAGAATTGTAATTACTTAATTTAAAAATAAGTAGAAATAATGCAAGATTGGTCACGTCAGAGGTCGCTCGTTATGCGTCGGGTCAGAGGTCACTCGTCATGTGTTGGGTCAGAGGTCACTCACCATGCGTCGGGTCATAGGTCACTTGTCATGCGCTGGCTCAGAGGTCACTCGTCATATGTTGGGTCAGAGGTCACTCGTCATGCGTCGGGGCAGAGGTCACTCATCATGCGCCGGCTCAGAGGTCAATCGCCATATATCAGGTCTTAGGTCACTCATCATGCATTGGGTCATAGGTCACTCGTCATGCACCGGCTCAGAGGTCAATCGTCATATATCAGGTCTTAGGTCACTCATCATCCATCGGGTCATAGGTCACTCATCATGCATTGGGTCAGAGGTCACTCGTCATGCACCGGCTCAGAGGTCACTAGTCATACGTCGGGTCAGAGGTCACTCGTCATGCGTCAGGTCAGAGGTCACTCGTCATTAGTCAGGTCAGAGGTCACTCGTAATGCTTCTCGTTAGAGATCATGCATCGTATCAAAGGTCACTCGTCATGCGTCAGGTCAGAGGTCACTCGTCATGCATCGGATTAGAGGTCACTCGTCATTAGTCAGGTCAGAGGTCACTCGCCGTGAGTTAGGTCAGAGGTCACTCGTAATGCTTCTCGTTAGAGATCATGCATCGTATCAAAGGTCACTCGTCATGCGTCAGGTCAGAGGTCACTCGTCATGCATCGGATTAGAGGTCACTCGTCATTAGTCAGGTCAGAGGTCACTCGCCGTGAGTCAGGTCAGAGGTCACTCGTAATGCTTCTCATTAGAGATCATGCATCGGATCAAAGGTCACTCGTCATGCATCGGATTAGAGGTCACTCGTAATTAGTCAGGTCAGAGGTCACTCGTCATGCGTCGGGTCAGAGGTCACTCGTAATGCTTCTCGTTAGAGATCATGCATCGGATCAAAGGTCACTCGTCATGCGTCAGGTCAGAGGTCACTCGTCGTGAGTCAGGTCAGAGGTCACTCGTAATGCTTCTCGTTAGAGATCATGCATCAGATCAAAGGTCACTCGTCATGCGTCGGGTCAGAGGTCACTCTTTCAATGAACTAGACTCCTGTATGGCCGTTACCGGAAGCCAGTGATCATAGTTTATAAAGTTATTTAGATGGATATTTGTCTTGGCTTCAGAAGGCCTTATAACCCCTGCAGGCGTATGGATTACTGTTGTGATGATGGATTCAAAATCTCACGCTCCATTCACTGACATTATAACGCTGGCAAGACCCAGGATATAACTTTAATATAACTATAATATTTTTAATATAACTCTGATTGTGTTTTGCTGAAATAAGTCATAAACACAAGGATGGCTTGAGGGTGAGTCAATAAAGGCATATTTTTCATTTTTGGGACTAAACTATTCCTCTAAGTCATGTCCCCTATGGAGAAAATGTTCCTGGATTTCATGCATTACAACCGATACTTTCTGAATGCATTTGAATGAACAAAGAAACTCTTTACGATTACAGATAGTGTAGTTGCAACCTATCCCAGCCAGACCTGGGCCATTTGACGTCCATTATTAAACCACACTGACCATTCGTAAAAAAATTTAAAAATACTGCAGTATTTATTATAAATTATTTATAGATGCACATCATTTTAAATTCATGAGTCTCATAATAATTAATAATAAAAACCAATCAAAATAATTATCTTCTCTGATGACGTGTTTACTGGCAAGAGGGCGGGGCAAACCTGTCACTCACATGAGATCCACCAATAACAAACCACAACCATACGATTAATTGCGTTCCCTCTGTGTGTGTGTGTGTGTGTGTGTGTGTGTCAAGGTTTAAAATCTCCTGTTCTATCTATAGTATTTGATCGATTGACCAAAAGAACATCAGAGGTTAATCGAAACTTCATGTGACAGCTGGAGTCAACAGTACCGAGTTAAACGCTAAACTAACGAAGAAGGAAGTTTGTGCTGTTTATTGTAAACAGACAGAGCTGACATGTTAAGACCTCTATTATAATCACTGAACTTATCAGTTATGATACGAATAATAATAGTGAGTGACTGGTAATACAGATGAAGGGTATTTTAAAAGATATTTCCTCACCCAAATAACTTTTCTGTGTCGTAAACCGAAGAAACATTCACGCTTTCAAAACAACCTGAGGAGGAAAAACCTGCTTCAATGTCAATACGAGGCGCTCGCGCAGTTCATAACTCATCTCATCTGTAAACATAATCATAAAGTAGGTCATCTGATTATTGAACAGAAGAATCGCCTGTACTCACCATACTGTATCTCACGCGGGGTTTCTTACTGTCCCGGTTTAATATCGTTCACTTTCTGCGCTTGTTCAGCTGTGGCTGAAGTTCCCGATGCGCGTCCCCGATCGCCACTCCCCCTTCTACTGTCCGAGCGTTACAGTTGCCTCGTGAATATTAATGACACCCTGTGGCGCTCGGCTTCACTGATTGGCTAAGAGCCTGGCGCTGGTGGGCGGGTGCTACTGAGATAGCGAATTAACTCTGTAGAAAGGGGTTGGTACAATTAATATTCATAACGTTTCGTGATTAGACTGTCCATGACGATTATCAAAACGTCAGCGCGACCTAATTAATATTCATAAGCTAACCTTCGCTATAGTAGTGTGTACAAAGAGGAATTTACGCTTTTTGTCCTTTATCACAGACATTTACAATCACACTCACTTTCTCATACGCATACACACACTCTCTCTCGCACAAACACACACACTTCCATATATCTTACATTGTAAATACCTCAAACACAACAAGGACCGCATCACTAAGATGTTTTTTTTCATTTGTTCATTTTTAATGAATGTAATAGTTGAAATGAGGAAATAAGGATTCAGACTATAGACATAGGCCTCTTCCCTCGAATGTGAATCATTTTTCCAGGTTTCCCTTGTTCATAGAAAACCTGGGATTTACATGTAAGCCGTTTAGCAGCCGCTCTGACAGAGGGACGCGCGGAAGCCATTGATAATACTGTTAAATCATATTAAAAGCAACGAGAAAAGTTGATAATTGTACTCTTCATCATTCCCCGAAGCCTCTTCTTCAGCCGATCTGGACGTCGGGTCTCAGGGTCTCAGGCGCAGGAAACCAGTGTCTGGATATTTATGAGCGTCTCAGACATGCAGGACTGGTCTAACAACTTCTGATCGCCATCTGATGACGGAGATTCCAGGCGTTCCTGAGCTATGTAGATCACACACACACACACACACACACTTCTGTAAACCTCTATCACACACACTTCTATAAATTGAGTTCATTTTTTTTACTGGTCGTCACCTGTATGAATGCATGAGGACCCACTCACCTCTTCATCAGTGGAGTGGAGTAGTGTGTGTGTGTGTGTGTGTGTGTGTGTTGAGCTTCGATCTCGGCTGAACATGCAGACACACACACACACACACACACACACACGGATCAGACAGAGCAGAGTTCAGGAATGACGGGGGCAACCAGAGGCATTGTTCATTGTTATTCCCACCGCAATTAGTCTCCCACAGTTCCAACGGACTTCAGTGTGTGTGTGTGTGTGTGTGTGTGTGTGTGTGTGTGTGTGTGTGTGTGTTGGGAATAGATTTATGTTGTTATATTATGGATGCATACACTACCAGTCAAAGGTTTTGGATCGGTAAGTTTTGTAATGTTTTAAAAGAAGTCTCTCCTATGCGTAACACTTCCTCATTAGAGAGAAACACAGGTGTGTGTGTGTGTGTGTGTGTGTGTGTGTGTGTGTACAGAAGTCAGCTCACACACACTTTCATGACTTCCCTAGCAAAGTTTCAAACAATGGTGCATCTTCCTTGTTTCTCTGTTTGTGTTGCCTGCTTATTTTTGTGTTGTTTCTCACTGTATTTTTTTTTACATTCTTAAAAATGACATCTTGCTTTAGTAAAGTTAATTAGCAATTTCCTGAATAAAGTTCTAACATCATTGAAGATTATACACTGATCCCGAGGCTTTTCACTTCCATTAATCATCCATATTCCTGATTCCTGATCTGTGTTACATTGGAGAAATGTTCCTGATTTCCATTATTCAATTACACAAAACATCTCGTGTTTATTGAGAAAGTGATATTTAAAGAGATTAATCTACAGAAGGTGAATCTGCAACTGTTACGGGAATGTTCTCTGACACAAGTAACATTTAAAAATGTGACAAACTTCCAACTGAAACATTTCAGAACAAACGGCGGGAGATTCTCCATCACTTCTTCTTATACTGTGTTTTGCGTTCGGAGAGATCGGGTGAGTAAACGAGTAAATGATTCATTTTGGGTGAACTTAAACTTTAATATGTTGTTCAACAATAGCATACTTTTGAAATTGAGGTGTTCAGTTACACACAGGGCTATTGTGCCATCTGGCGGTCATCATTAAAATCATCTGGGCGTTTTTGTTTTTAATTTATTTTATTTTTAATTTTTTTTACATTTGGTTTAGCCAGTCAGTGTTTTGTGTTATTGTTAATAATTATAATGATAATAAAACTCATAGTTTCTAGCGCACTTTGTGTTTTTTATTGAAGACCACACGAACTGTAACATGATTCCCTGTGCTTAGTTTTCATTGTTTGTTTTCGTCTGGTTATAAAGAGTCGTGTAATGAGTTTACTGCTGTGGTAATGACGTAGCTTTTCCGTTTTTTGCGTCACGCATGTGCGCGCACCGGCGGACACGCGCAGCGCTTCCCACGAGAGAGAGCGTGCGCGCGCTCATTCAGTGATGGATCAGATCGGCGCTGATCGCGTCGCTTATAATCAGGATTTCACACACAAGGTAATAATTATTGATCAATCAATAAACCGACCGCTGCAAGTTTGTTTATTGATATCGATATTTCTGCCAGCTGTTTGACAAAATCTGAATGTGCGTGGTTTTGTGATATTCATTTCATGCGATGCCGAGACTTATTTGTCCAGGTGTTCATAGACAATATTAATCAGGCATAACGCAACACATTATGGATAACGTTAAATTATTTTCCACTGTCAGTCGCACAGAGATTCTTACAATCTTGATAATATCTGAAAAGTGTCTTATCTGATGTTGTTTATAGTGTTTTATGATGTGACGATTGTGATTATAGTGTTATGATAATGTGATTATGGTGATTATAGTGTTATGATATGTGATTATAGTGTGTTATGATATGTGATTATGGTGATTATAGTGTTATGAAAATGTGATTATGGTGATTATAGTGTTATGATAATGTGATTATGGTGATTATAGTGTTATGATATGTGATTATAGTGTGTTATGATATGTGATTATGGTGATTATAGTGTTATGAAAATGTGATTATGGTGATTATAGTGTCATGATATGTGATTATAGTGATTATAGTGTTATGATAATGTGATTATGGTGTTATGAGTTATCACCATAATCACATATCATGCTATTATATGTGATGGTAATTTTAAGATATCCGATACAGTGTATGTGATTATGGTCATTAGTGTGTTATGATATATCATGATGATGATTTGAGTGTGTTATTAATGTGATTAATGATTATGGTGATTAAAGTGTGTGGTGTGTGTGTGTGTGGTTGATATGCTCTTATTGTTATGGTGACCATAGTGTATAATGTGTTATATAATGTGATGGTGGTGGTTATAGTTTATGTTTTATGATAATGGTGATTAGAGATTTATGATATGCGATTATGGTGATTATTGAGTATGTGTGATGATGGTGCGTTATGATTTTAATGGTACACACTCAGTTACTCACACTCTCTTACTCACACACATGCACACACACTCTTTTACTAGCATGCACTCACAAACACACACTGAGTGGCTGTTTAATGTGTGTGTGTGTGTGTGTGTGTTTGGGCCTCGGGTCTCTGGATGGGTTTGTTATTCTCTGGTTTTAAGTGTGTGTTATATAACTGAATAAAACTGTCTAAACAAACACACACACACACACACACACAGTCACAGTGTTTCCTTCCTCCTCAAAGCCAACAATTGATCTCACACACGAGACAGATTTCTGACACTCGCTGAGAAACTAAAATATCAGAATAGAAACAGTTCGTCAGTGTGTTCCTGATGAGTGGAGCATCTGTGTTTCTTCTGCCTAATTACTTCCTGTACGTCACACACTGCGTTGCTATGGCAACAGCACACCTCCATCAGCACCAGCACATGGAGACGTTTCTTCACTACTCATGTCCTTAAATCTTCTATAGTTCCCCTATTCTGAGTGATTTCTGTACCTCTCTCTCTCTCTCTCTCTCTCTCTCTCTCTCTCTCAGACTATCCTGGTGGGAGACAGTGGAGTGGGAAAGACTTCTCTACTGGTTCAGTTTGATCAGGGGAAATTTATCCCGGGATCTTTTTCTGCCACGGTGGGAATCGGGTTTACGGTGAGCAATCATATCAGAAACACGAGAGAGAGAGAGAGAGAGAGAGAGATGTAGATTGAGATTAATAATGTTGTGATTCACATTCACTGTTTTTCTCTCGTCAGAATAAAGTTCTTACTGTGGATGAGCTGAAGGTGAAACTACAGGTGAGACACACACACACACACACACACACACGAGACATTGAGAATCAGCTGATGATCATCAACGGCTGGTGTTTGTGTGTCAGATCTGGGATACGGCGGGACAGGAGAGATTCCGCAGCGTCACACACGCGTATTACAGAGACGCTCAGGGTGAGACACCATCGGTGTGTGTGTGTGTGTGAGTGAGTGAGTGTGTGTGTGTGTGTTACTGTAATATAATGATGTGTTGATCTCTCGCAGCGCTGCTCCTGCTCTATGACATCACCAGCAAGTCCTCCTTTGATAACACACGGGTACGAGCTCCACACACACACACACACACACACACACACACAGATAATTCAATATTTACTTTCATCCTCCTGAGGGTTGCAGACTCCAGAGAGAATGTGTGTGTGTCTGTGTGTGTTTTAGAGTATTAGAGGCTTCTGATTGGTTGGGTGTTGTGTTGTAGGCGTGGCTTACTGAGATCCACGAATACGCTCAGGATGATGTCGTCATCATGTTGCTCGGAAACAAGGTAAGAGGACTTTCAGCTCGAGCGCAGGTTTATGAATGATAACTGTAACTGTACATGTGTGTGTGTGTGTGTGTGTGTGTGTGTTCAGTCGGACATGAGCAGTGGGAGAGTGATCCGGCGCGAGGATGGAGAGAAGCTCGCCAGAGTGAGTCAATCTATATTAAAATATATATTCATTTAATTATTTGCATGAATTACATTATTTATTTATTTTATATATATATATATATATATATATATATAATTTATAATTAAATATATATATATATATATACAATTATGTTCAATAGATAATATGTATATATGGAATATAATTGTAAAGTTAACTTTAAATAAAATTATATATATATATATATATATATGCTCTATTATGCTCTACTGGTAATTATTCATTAATTTGATTAATTATAATCAATTAAATCATCATCATAAATCATTATAATACATACCTTTATTTTATATACATCTTTTTTTCTAAATATGATCTACTGGTAAACATTTATCAATTTAATCTAAGATTTTTGTAGAGTTGACATGATTCCCAAACTTTAAGGCCTTAGTTCTCATTTAAAGGCCTGTAAACGTGTCTTTATCAGGAGTACGGGGTCATTTTCCTGGAGACCAGCGCCAAGACCGGACTCAACGTGGACGAGGCCTTCACGACCGTGGCAAAGTGAGTTAAAGAAACTCTATTAAAATATAAAATCAATATTAAAATGGTGTGTAATTCTGTCCATCACAGGGAGCTGGTGAGACTCGCCGTCCAGACGCCCGTCCAGCCCCGCTTCGAGCTTCAGGAGCTGATGGAGCCGGAGAGAGAGACGACCAGCTGCTGCGGGGCGAACTAGAGGAAGAGGAGAGATCTTCATCACTCTGAGCTGCACTTCTCATCACTAACACCAGGTGGCGCTGTGAGCCTCTGACTGGCACTGACACGCTGCAGAAATGCTCTTCTTACTCAGTGTTTGTGTCTTGTTTCTAGTCCAAATATCATAAAATTACTAAATCAAGAAGTATTTATTAAAGGAGTAAAATGGCATTACATATTATGTCTAGTTTTCTGGCAATATTCATCAAAATGAAGTGATTCGTTGATTTAAAAAAGCAACATTATCTGCCAATGGCGTCAGACATATAATGTTAATTCAAACAGGAATTAGATCATTTTACTTGTTTTAAGCACAAACTCGCTTCATTTGGATTTATATTCCCAGAACACAAGAGATAATATCTAATGGCATTTTACTTCTCTACTAAACGCTTCTTGATTTAAGAATCTTCAGATATTTGGACTGGAAACACTGAGTAAGAAGATCATGGTGGAAACCAGTTGTATAAAGTAAATAACATTTCTAAACGACCTATTACAGAACCGACTGCTGTAAAGTATCTTATGAAGTCCACCTATAATGTGCTTTACACACTCGTGATGTCTAGAACAGGTTTTCCTGCTTGAATGTTGATTAATGTTGAGTTGCGGCTCCTCTCTTCCCAGTCTGTCAGTAACGCTCTGTTCACTTCCTGTCTCTATGAAGCCCCTCCTTCTGAAAGCACACTGTGCTCCGATTGGTCGGCTGGAGTGGTGTGTTGTGATTGGTCGAGCGCTGAGTGTGTTTGGGAAATGTCCCGCCCCTTTCCATAACCGCCAGTTTAACACACTACTAACTAACTCAACCAGGCCCCGCCCCTTTATTCTGCGCATAAATTATTAGTGTCCCGGAAGAGTTTAAGAGAGTCCAAAACATCCACTGGTTAAAGATCTACTATAATATTTTGAATTTTTTTGTGATTTCCAATGCGTCTTTTGAAGGACTGTTAATGGAGGGAAAAAGCTTTGTTGGTTTTAACATGCTGAACTTTGACCCCTGGTTTCATGTGTCCACAAAACATATCACACAGTAAATAGATCAATGTCACTAACGAGCTTAATATCCATATTATCAGCGAGTGTTTCTGGGCCTGTTTACCTCATGCTGAGGAAGAGCTCTAATGCTGCGTATTAATATCAGGATCTCCACTGAGAATATTATGCACCAGTTCAATATTGCAAATCATATTTCAAGAAAATATGCATTTTTCCTGCTTTGCTGTACAACGATTAAATTGTTCTTTGCATTGAATTAATATTGTTAATGAATTTACGAGAATATGCATTTATGGCTGTCTGTGATGATGTGTCCCTGCCTGCGTGTTTATATCCGAAGCAGATTTTATTATGAAATTATGAAACGCTATTTTGTAATGCATCCGTTTACCTGAATCAAAACACTTTGCACAGTTTTGTGTCGAATGTCCTCAGGTGTTTTCATGTGTTTGGAGTGTGTGTGTGTGTGTGTGTGTGTGATGCTTTATAAAAGAGCAGTTGTGTGAATCTGTTCCTCACAGATGTGTTTTGTTATTAAAGAATGTTTTATAAATTCAGTTTGATCGTGTTTCATTCACACTATTCTATGCAAATATTTTTATTTTGCACAATTCCTATGAAAAATTTAATTCACAGATTTTCTAATATTTCAGATCAGTATATTGATTTCTAGAATGTAAAAGCATAATGACGTGATTTGTATTTTTTTTTTTTTTTCACATACACATGTCTTTGTGGAACCTTTACAAGATTATCTTTGACTATTAAATCCTTTTTGGATCTAATTCCATCAAAACAAATTGATTAATATTTTACTTTTTAAAATGGCTCACACACTACCTATACATTTGAATAAGAAAATAAATAATTGAACAAATGTTCTTAATTTAATGTAATGTTCTATTGCAGCGCTTGTTTTCACCGCATGGTGTCGCCAAAGTCAGTTTATTCGCCATAATCCTAGTTTCTGTGAGCTCGATTGGCGTTTCTTTCATAAATAACTCTCTTTAGATGTAGACAAACAATCATTGTAATCCATTAATAAATTTCAATCTATTTCTCTAAATGGTTATTATATTATCTGTTATTTAATTCCTCTTCAGTGCGTCAAGGGGAAATGAGTTCATAATAATTGCAGATATTGTTTATTTGTGTTTTTGTATTGTGATTTCCCACTCTCATCTGATGGCGTTCCTCAGACACTGTGTGTGTGTGTGTGTGTGTGTGTGTGTGTGTGTGAACAATAGTGTTTCCTCATGGCTGCAGGTCATGATGTCTCACATCTGTAACGGATATGTGTGTGTAGAGCAGGAACAGCAGCCGAAGAGCATTGTGTCTTTCTGCTGACTCTCATCTCTGAGGTCAATGATCTTACACACACACACTCTCTCTCTCTCTCTCTGTCACACACACACTAACACACACATAAACACAAACAAACTCTCTCATTCACACAAACACTCTCTCACACTAACTCTCTAGCTCTCTCTCTCTCTCTCTCTCTCTCTCACACACACACACACACACACACTTTCTCTCTCCCATACACACATAAACACTCTCTCTCTCTCACACACACAATGTTACTCAAAAATATATTTCAAAAATTCCCATAATATTTACAGTACCGATTAGTATATTTAATTAGTGGTGCTCAGTTAAATAATGATATGTTATTATATTATTCAACCACAGTATTCTGTGTAAAGCTGTGTGTGAGTCGTGACTCGCTCCTTCACTGACCGTCACGGTCACACGTGTGTCATTCTCTCCACTTCCGGTCCAACTTTTGCTGCTTCCGGTGTCTGAGCATCAAACTCCCTCGCTGTCCTGACAACTGGCTAATGTCAACTAATCAACAGGTAAAAAATTAACATTGCCAAAGCACACACGATACTCATATGTTTGATACAATGATAATATCGAGAAGGAAATGGCATAAAAGTACTTGCTTGTATTTAAATTAATATCTATAATAAGCCGAGCCTTCAAGTTCACTCGGTTCTGGTTCTGACTCGAGCAGTTCAGTCAGTGAGTTGGTGAATCGGTTCGTTCGAAGCTCCTCCGAGAACCGAGTCTCTCAGCGGGTGTGTTTGCACTGCGTTTATTCTGGAGTTAGCTGTGTTCTTTGTCAATCCTCTGATTAGATTAGTGGGTGTGATGAAGTTGGCTTGGTTTACTCATCAGGATCAATAGTTCACCTTTGAAACTCTGCATACATGTGAGAGAATAGCTTATCGTGTCAGAACAGCGTCCTGATTTGTTTAGAGGCCTAAATCGAGTTCGGCTGAAGATCTGGCGACTCACGGGCCTTGAGATGATCCCTGAGTCTGAGCTGAAGGACTGCGGGGTCTCAAGAGCACACACACACACATCACATTCAGTGCGCACACACACGCGTGCATTGTGCACAATATTATAGACTCAAACACACCATATAGACACACATCACATTCAGTACACACACACACACACACTTATGTGCACCATATTATAGACTCACACACACACACGATTCCCAGAGAATAAGTGAGAATCCCTCTCATGCAATCGAGTTCCCTTTGGATACTCCTGTGCCGAATGCCGGGATGATGTGCATGTTGTGGGGCGATAAAACACACTCTGTGTTTATGAAGATTGATGGAGTGATGCAGCAGAGATGACCAGCAGGGGGAGATGCTTTCTGTTCAGCTTACTGACACACACACGTTTACAGTGGATGATGTGCATATATGTGTTCATATGTTCATATATCAATAAGCAACATGTTCTCAAACTCCAGACCCAGCTCAGATTATGAAGCACGGCTTTAGCAAGACAATTTGATATCTGAAAATATATTTCTGAATGGCCGTAATTCCATAATGAAGTCAGTGCAACAGAAGAAGCTGGACTCTCAGTTCTCTCAGCAGAAAACTGCTGTGACAATTTTATAATACAATTTTTCACTCAGAAATGACTAGTCAATTTCAGAATGGATTATAAAGAAATGGCAAGTATTGAATTAAAAATGAAATTTTGAAATAGACTGAAATAGTTTTTTCTTGTTAAACACAAACATATGCCTACATAATAATACATTGAAACTGAATAATTGCATATGTTTTTATTTTTATTTTCAAAATTCTGACCAAATCAGACCAATATACTGTATACAACACACACAAAAAAACGTGATTAAGTCCAGATTTGTGTCAAAACCAATTTAAGTATTTTTCTGGATAAAGTTTCTAATGTGTATTTATCAGTTTTTATGGCTTTTGCTAATAGAGTGGCGAAGTTACGACGTCACTCTGTAGGCCAATGTGTGATGTAGAGCGAACAGTCGCATGACATTTACGCCTCATCTGATTGGCTCAAAAAAGTTTCAAAAGGATTTTGGGTGCGTCAGCCAAGCAGCGGCCATTGAGATGAATCAACGGAGAACATCAAGTACATTGGAAATACAAAATTCTGTATTTAATTCAGATCAAACAGTGATAGAAATTTGTCTTAGATTAAAAAGGCTCACATATACACAATCACACACATCGCAAAACACAAAATAAAGGTTAAATAAAAAATAGAAATAAATAAAACTCAATGACATCGCTGTCGATTGGGCACAGCTGATTGGCAATGGTTGATAGCCAATGGTGCTTAACATTCAAATTCTTGCCTACCGAAGCACACACACACACACACACCAGCTCCACCTGCATAGATCCACAGGTAATGCTTGTACTTTAGATCGCATGTTGCATCAGTGTTTGATCAGATGATTTAAACATGTCCGATTGTCTGTTCTGCTTTTCTGTATGGTCTCATTGTGTCATTAAGCACTCATTAATACCCTGACGGTGCACTTTAAACACACACACACACACACACAGACGGGCAGACAGATCACTTCTCTGAACGCTCTCTGTTTGAGTCTGCCGTTTTGAAATGACCCAGTCTTGGCTGATCGCTCACGGCTCATTTAGAAAGCAGAAGTGAAACGCTCCCCTCTTTCCAAATCCCTCACACTCGAACACGAGCAACAGACAGATCTGTCGTCCTCTGATAGAGTGTGTTTGGGTCCAGACAGACATATGCGTCGCCTGATAGCAGCTCCTGTGGGTGTTCTCCTCCGATGCGCGCTCTCTCTTCTGCAATCTGATCACACACAACGAAGCCCTAAACAAACTCTGACTGAAAGGAAGTGATAAACAGCGTTTCCTGTAAAGCGTTGGCTATGATAACAGGTCTCATGGACGGCAGTGTGAGTCAAGGTTCTTCAAATGAAAGCCTTTTTCCCTTCGCCACAACAATCGGCTGTGGTCAGAGGTCACGCTGGAAACAATAAAGACACACTCGCCGTTCCCGACGCGGAAAACATTCCTGCGGGGAAAACCAAAACCTGAACGAGAGTGAGATATATATATATATATACGAAACACCTTGTTCATTCTGTCCGTTCATTAACACACGAGCGTCGTCATCCAGGCCTGAAGTTCACATTACCTCACACACACATCTAACAACACACTCTTTTACTGCCACTGCTCATTCAACTTACCTGTTATTATCAAATAAATGTACGTAATGTTCATCTGACGTTTAATTGACTCTAAAATGTTTTTTTTTTATTATCCTTGAATTTAATTTTTTCATTTGTTTTTGTTTTCGGTAGGATTTACTTCACCATAAAATTATTTTTAGCAGTGTAAATATTCTTAAAACAAGAAACGGTAACTAGGGAAGCAAAACAGCGTGATATAGGCCTATTATGTCTTGTTTCCTGAGAAATGTTTAAAAATGAAGTGAGTTTTTGCTTAAAATATAAGCCAATATCTGCCAGATCAGAAAAAAATTCTGACCTCATTGGCAGATGTTTGTTCTTGTTTTATCCACATCCACAAACTCACTTTCTTTCTTTTTCCGGTCTTAAATCATTTTGCTTCTCCAGTAAATGTTATTAATTCAGGGTTGTTATAGTTAAAACCCGTGTTATTAGCGACACCAGTGGCCGTTAAGTGGAACTGCAGTTACTTCCGGGTTCTGGACTGGCTGCAGTAACACGTCTCTGTCCATGCGGGGGCGCTCGCGGTCGAGTGCAGAATGAATGGGAGTCAATGGGGTTTCACCCCCATAAATCCACTTTTCTCAGGATGTTATTTTTTGTCAAGTAATTTGAAAGTTGCATTCAAAAGGGAGGGCTAAGATAATACACTCAGCTGAAAATTGCATTTTTAAGTTCACTTATCTGTTAAAAATCCGTTCAAAACTGTGATGACGTCACACAATAGCAGAATGCTAGCGTGATCCGGCCAACAACAGCCTAACCTGTAAGAAATCAAAAGGACATAAGTACTCGTTGATTCGAATTTTGGCCTATAATCTATATTGAACTTGCGGAATCAACAATAAAATCTATGTTAATTTAACGACAAGCAGGTGAAAGAGACACATTTAGCCGTTTAGCCCCATAGACTCCCATTCATTCTGCTCTCGCCCGCGATCACCTCCAGTGGAATTCTAATGGAACTGCAACCAGGATGATACACAACGGCCTGGTAGAAACTTAATGCTCGTGCTCGTGAACACGTGACGCACGCGATAAACACACGACAGGACACATTTACATTATAGTACAAAATGTCTCTTCCGGCATTATCCTGAACATAAACTTTCGGAGGCGTCACATCCTTTTGAATTTCCCGGCAAAAACGACCCGGGTCCTTCACCGTCTAC